GCGAGCCAGGACTAAGCAGTCCTGGCTCATGTCGGCTCCAGTGCCACCATGCTGCGACTCTGTATTTTAACTGCAGTAAGAACCACTGGGCTCTAAATACATTTAAAATGCAGAGGCGCAGCGATCAGTCAAGCTAGGGGCTGCTCGGTCCTGGCTCATGCTGAGTCGAGCAGCCCCTGTTTGCAGCGGACAGCTCCATGCACCGCGAACATGGGCTGCAGGACTCTTACTGCCTAGAGCCTCTTACTACAGTTAAAATGCAGAGCTGCAGCGCAAGTGGCTCTGGAGCCAGGACTGCTCAGGACTGAGGCTCTGCTCAGCAGTGCTTATCCACTAATCGTACAGACGATACAAATTGTATCCACTATATGATTAGCCAATTGATCACATTTTAACCTCCTTAGTGCCCACAGTCGTTACAGCCATATCTTGTATGAGAGAGCGAGCCGTCACCGAGAGTTAAGCTTCATTCTCACAGCACATGATCATAAATACCCTAAAGAAAACTCAGTTCACACTTGACTAGCTAAATAAGACCTCTCTAGTGTCCAATTAGTTAAATGAATAGGAAGTTTCTCATTTAAATGACCCTAGAACTTACTGTGCACGAAATATTCTGTCAAATTCTGGGGTTCCGGTGACTTCTGGGGGCATGATCTTGTGCTGTTTTCTCGATTTTCCTACCAGCCAGGCAAAATGACCTGCATGTAAAAGTAATGAATCAAGGATTAAAAAGCTGTTTGTTTTTTTTAATTCAGAAAAACTGCAGGTCCTTTAAATCATCTACAAATATCAATTTTTCAAATGGAAACAATCATCATTCCTCAAGTTTTGCCTTTAAATGTGAAGGAAAAGAACCAACACTTTTTGCAGTTACACTAGTTTCCCATTTAAAAATTCCCACACTAACCTCAAAAACAGGGGTAGGTGGGTGGGCAACAATTTTTGCAGGGGAGTCACTTCATAAATGTTGATACCTGGTGGGCCCCTGGAAGGTGCAGGGTCTCAGATAGAAGGGGTGGGGCTGAGGAAGGGCTACAGAGAGAGACAAAGAGAATGTGTGTGTGTGAAAGACACTCTGTGTGTGAGACACAGACTTTGTGATGCAGCTGTATGTGTGGCACAGACTGGGTGTATGAAACAGGGACAAAAAGAGTGTGTATGTTGGCTGCTCCTGGGTACTTTTCTGAGTGAAGCCACGCTGTCTCTTTAAGGGAAACCTGTCTTGCTCTGTCTCCCTCCTTCCCCAGTCTGCCTCCTCTGACTCAGACCCCTCTGAGTCGCTTATCATCTACCACCCAAACTTGCATGGAGCCAGCTCTCAGGTCCTGCAACTAGGCACCGACTCCATGGGTGCTCTGGGGCTGGAGCACTCACAGAGGAAAAATTAGTGGGTGCTCAGCACTCATAGATAGTCAAGCTCCACCTTCTACCTGCTCCCCTAGCAGCCCCACTGATCTATTCCTCCCCCTTTGTCCCAGCACCTGCCGCAAACAGCTGTTTCAGAGGGGGAGAAGCACAGATGGGGCATGCTCAGGGTGGAAAATGGTGGGGTGGTATATCGGGGGAAGGGAGGATCACACACTCCCCCATGGCTGCAGGAGAACGTTGCGCCTATGCCTCCAAGTGTCTTTTTTGTGCTGTAGTAGTTCTAAATTTTGTAATGTATAACTTTTGAAAGTGCAACCATTGCCTGTTTTGGAAACAAGAGCTGGGTCCCAAATGTTTCATACATTTGACAAAGGTTAGTATCTCGTGTGTATTATGCATCCATCTGTAGAGATTCATAGTGTACACAGTAAGTGCTGTAATTTTGTGTGCACCTGCCTGCAGCTGGAAGTGTGCTTTTCCCAGGCAGGGATAGAGACCTGGGCTAGCTCTGCTCCAGCTAACATGCTAAAAATACCAGCATAGCCAGGAGTAGCATGGGCTGAGCTCAGGTTAGCCACCAGAGTGCAAACCTGTCCAGACCCTCCTGGTTGTGGTCAGCCTGCCCTCCCAACTGTCATTTTTAGGACACTAGCTCCAGCAGATGTAATGTGTGTCTATCTACTCAGGCCAGGAAGCATGATTCTCAGTGCCATCCAGACATGCCCTTTGTCTGGCCCCAGAATAACATGCTGACCTAAGACTTCTAAGACCCGGGCTCACAAGGGGACCTTGGGCAAACCACTTCCACTCCCCGTGCCTCAGTTTCCTCAGCTGTAAAATGAGGAAGGTTATACTTCTCTCCCTTTGAGCTCTCTTGCTGAAGTGCTTGTGATGACGTGGGAATTTTATTTACCTTATGTTGCATGAGTTCTGCTGTCCTATAGTAACCCTACGCATGTGCCTCAGTTTCCCGGGGCACTGCACCAGTACCTAGATGGTGATTGGAATTTTGAGGGTGGTAATCTCCCAAATGTACACAATGGCCTGGCTCTGGATGGGTGGAAGGTCTAGCGACTTCCCCACACTTTGGTGATAGTGCTATTCATGAGCTATGTAATATTATATAAGAGGTGTGTGGGTATTTTTATTATTACAATAGGCTGAATACCTGCTGTAAGTGTAAAAGTCTTAACTAAGGAGCTGTGACTGGTAATTTCCATTCCCATGCATTTATGTGTGTATGTATCTAAAATGTATTTTCATGGCCTCTTCACCACAGAAACACAAATCTTATTTTAAAAGTTTGGCAGAGTTTGACAGAAATGGCAAGGTACAACAAAATCCAATTGCTGGAATGTGAAACTAAACAAATTCAGTATGGAATATGGTGCACATTTTTTAACAGCGGCGATAGTTAATCACTGAGGAAATTTACCAAGGTCTGTAATATATTCGTCCAATAATTGCCAAAGGGACTTCAAGTGACTGGAACAATGCTATCCGGTCACTCTTGAACATGAGCCTCCAGTAAACACCATGTGGCCCTTTCATGTGAAGGTTTCCACCATAATCAATGGGATCCTTTGCCTAACTCAGGATAGTGAAAAACTTTAAAAACAACAAATAGTCTGGTACCACTTTAAAGACTAACAAAAAATGTAGACGGTATCTTAAGCTTTTGTGGGAACAGCCCACTTCTTCAGATGACCAGATAGGGCTTATATGCCCATTGAAAAAAACAAGCAATTGTATACCTATCCAACTACATTTTTCGTTACTTTGTATCTTTTGAAGACCAGCAGGAAGCTCCTTTTTCCCTTTGGAAAACCAATTGTAGCATTTTTTTTAAAACTGGGGAAATTCATATTGATACATTCTTAAGAGAAGATGATCCTAGATGCTGTGAATTATACTACAGGTGACATGAAGTATCAGCCAAGGGTTTGGGGAGGGTAGGGGTAGAACAAGTTACCACATTCTTCTTTTCACCAATTAGTGTCTGCATAGCAACTCTTTGCAAACAAACAGAAATGAAAGCAGTTACATATACCCTAGTTTAACCTCTTGGATTGCAATCCAACACAAATCCAATTGACTTCAACCACTAGACTCCCATACAAGCTGAACAAGTTTATTTCCTTTCTCACCCTGTTCCCCTCTGCCATAAGCAGATTATTCAAGTCCTTGCAGGCTAAAGCTGTATATCTGAGGCAGCTGAGAAGTGTTCTTGAGTTGTGGGGTTTTTTGTTTCAATTGGCAGTCATATTTTACCAAGACAGTCTCTTTGCTATGAAAATATAGCACAAAGTTTATTTTTAGAGCCCAACAAATCCACAGATATCTGCTTTATATTCCCACGATGTGGCTGCAGATATCCACGGCTCATTTTTGCAGATATGGATGCTGAAGGGGATACCAATTTTGTATCTGTGAAAGGCTATACTTATTTTCATGGGGCGGCAACCTCAAATATTTTATTAATGGTACAAAATCAGGCATTTGCATTGCAATGAATAGTCTGTTTTGATTTGAAACTATTCTTGATTTGCAAACTTACTTTGTATCAAACCAGATGCCTGATTGGATGCAGATAAAAGGATATTAAGCACCAAGGAAGGGCTGTCCCTTAAAACAGTGGTTTTCTAATTTTTTCTCATGAACCAGTTGAAGGAAATTTTTGATGCCTATGACCCAACTAGAGTGCAGGCTCTGGCATGGGGTTGAGGATGAGAGCTTTAGGATGTAGGAGAGGGGTCTGCCATGGGAGAGGGGTTAGGGCTGGTGCAGGAGGGACTTATCTTGGGCATCTCCCAGTCAGCAGTGCAGTGGAGTGCTAAAACAGGCTTCTTGCCTATCCTGCAGACCATTCTGTGCCCCAGAAGCAACCAGCAACAGGTTCCCAGCCAATGCGCATGTGGAGCTAGTGCCCAGGGCAGAGGCAGTGCATGGAGTTTGTGTGCTCACTTTCTCCCCCCGCCCTCCCACCCATCGAGGAGCTGGGCCTGCTGTGGTGTCTGCGGTGCCAGGACAGGCAGGACACCTGCCTTAGCACCCCTGCTGATCACCTGATCCCCCTGCAGCAACAAGACCCAGTGCCTGACATGCCACAACCCAATCCTGGGTCGCGACCTGCAGTTTGAAAACCTCTGCCTTACAACACAGGACAGGGTGTCTAGCTTCTCTATAGGATCCTCTCCAAGCAGCCATGACTCAGATTCCCTCAACTTCATCCTGGAGACCCACTAGCTTGTCTAATGGGTCCATAAAACCTCCCCTTCCTTCTCCTGCAGGAAATCATAAAAGCTAACTCATTGCTGAAAACCTACCTGGTGCAAGGTTTTTGCTGGGTCCTTCCATCAAGACCATTTCTTGCTTGATTAATCCATGGCCTGGCCTAGTTCCTTGTGATTCTGGGAGGCTAAAAGCTTGTCTTACCACACCTCTGCAGCTGTGTCTACATTGGCATGATTTTGCGCAAAACCAATTGCTTTTGCGCAAAAATATGCTGCCTGTCTACACTGGCGGGGAGTTCTTGCGCAAGAACACTGATGTTCTAATGTGTGAAATCAGTGCTTCTTGTGCAAGAACTATGATGCTCCTGCTCAGGAATAAGCCCTCTTGTGCAACTGTTCTTGCGCAAGAGGCCAGTGTAGACCGGCAACATGAATTTCTTGCACAAGAAAGCCCTTGGCTAAAATGGCCATTGGAGATTTCTTGTGCAAGAGAGCGTCTACACTGGCACGGATGCTCTTGCACAAAAGCACATCTCTTGCGCAAAGGCACATGCCAGTGTAGACACTCTTGCGGAAAAATTTTAACCCAAGAACTCTTGCATTAAAGAGTCTTTGTGCAAGATCATGCCAATGTAGACGTAGCCTAATTGTTGTAAGGTGAAGCATAGCTTCCATCCCTGCTGCAGAGGGGACTTATTGCCTAATTGTTCACTCCCAATGTAACCCACACACCTGCTCGGTGTGGTGTGCTGTCCCACCTACTGAGTGAATAATGAGTCTGCTTTACAGCCTTAGCTAATAGCCAGCTCCCTTTTAGCATATGTGGTGTAGGCTCATGCACTAAGCTCCAGAAATCCCAGGTTCAATTCCACCCTCTAGACCACCAGGGTCTGTCGGCATTACACCAGCACAGAGCTGTACATATAGTGGAATAAACAGAGTAACGGATGGCCAGAGTGGATGTTTAATAGCTAAGTGTCTTGTGCTAATATCTGTCAAGCATTAAGATAATGGGCTGTTCCCACTTCCCAAACTGGTTGTGGCAGGTTCTTACAGCGCCATTTAACAAAAGGCAACAGGGACCAGACGCAGCAAGGGCAGGGCTGGCTTTTCTCTGAATAGCCACACAATCCCTGGGCTGGGATGAATCATAAACGTACGTTGATCTAACTGAACCCTCAGGGCTGTGACCAATCACCCTGTGTGATCACACAGTTAAACTGCCAAAGCCCATGTGAAGATATTACTAGCTGGATGATCGAATCCTGCGTGACCTCGTTATCGCCTGTAGAAGGGGGAATTTACTACAATGAGGGGTAAAGCCCCTTGTATGTAGGAGCTAAAGATAGTGCTTCAGTGGCACACGGGTAGCACTGCCACCATGCTGCTGTAGCATTTCTAGCGCAGACGTAGCCCCCCCATTCTAGAGTGTTCAGAATGTATTAACTTTCCAGGCAGCAGCTCTCTGGCCTTCCTTGTCACATTTCTTCCTGCTTTCACTTCACACAGTGTAAGGCACAGCAGCCCTTGCGGCAGGCTGAACTTTAACAAAAGCTCATGGTAAATATTGTCACAGGAGATAAACACTGTGCTGAGAGCCACTTAGGTGTTCGGTAGAGCTGCCTGGATATGGCACATGCAACTCAAGAAACAAAGCAGTCTGCTTACATATACTGACACCACCATCAACTGGAACCTCATGCGTGTGTCTTCTTGCATCCCATACAGCATTATTTGACGCTGATGGCTTGATGCAGACACAACCATATTATCTGAAGAAAAACAATTGCTAATGATAAGAATGCTGTCACGTTATTAGGTTGCCAGTGCTATTCTACCATCTCACACTCTTCTTTTTCCAGTTCCTTTCATCTATTGTATGTGTAGTCTGAAAAGTGGCCACATACTGTATGTGAATCTGAGGCATTTTCACAGTGGATAAAATAAATCTATATATTTAGGACCTCCTGGTGAGAGGATATTATGGGACAGCCATATACTGCAACTGCCTACTATATAACCTACTTGTTTTTCCCCTCTCTTTTCTGATATTAAATACCTTGCCATCTGCTTGGGGAAACCATTTTTAAAAGCAGTTTTGGTTCAGTGCTTCAGGAATGCACTTTGTAAGTATATTTAAAAAAAAACCCCAAAGCCAGAACAGAATGTAGCTGAAGGGTGAGTCTGCATCTACTTACAAACTCTAACAACAATTTTACCACCTCCCCTCTAAAAAAAAGTCATAAAAGGGAAAAATTGTAAATCTCCTCTAGTGCAAGGTAATCTGTCTCCCTATACACTGTACCACATTCCCTTCTGACGACCGAGAAGGTACATAATGCTCCATTTGGGGACAACTTTTATGAATTCTCAGAAGCTCAAGTAACAAACTAGCTTAGCATAAAATACCTCCAGTGTTCTAGGATCATTGGAAACCCCCGCTCTCCCATCACAAAATCCCACAAGCCTTACTTTGCTGGCAAGCTGAAAGAAGGGATACTGCAGCAAGCAAAACTAAATCGCCAGCCATGTTCCCAGCAGCTTCCGTCTCCCTGTGCAAGGGCACTGTCAGTGTGTAAGAGCTACAGACAGAGAAGCAGGTTGGGGGCAGGGAGTGAAAATGCTTTTCAAAGACACGCCTTAGGAAGAAGCGGGGCAACTTTATTTTTCCCTTTTAAATGAGCAGTGGCTGCTTAGCTAGATCTTGTTTCCTTGACCTGAAAATTATTTCATGCTTCAACAATCAGGGTGTGAAAGGTGTACTCGCAAGAGCTACATTTAAGAGTGAGCAGAATTACATCAAGTAACCCAGAAGTGGAGCTGGGTGAAAAACGCTGATTTTTTTTTTCTGTTTTAGTGAAAATTTGTCCTAGAAGTACATGAAGTAGAGCAAAAACAACTTCCCTGGCAAGTGGGGGAAGGGAGGGCATTGTAATAGCCCTAGGATTTTTTTCTAATGGTTGCTGAACCACTCAGATAAATGCAGATGAGGTCTGGTTGCCACCTAAAATTAGGGTTGCCAAATGGTTTCAACAAAAATACCGGACACACTTGACATTACATCACAATCTACATTACATCTTATTTAGAAAATACCGAACATATATATTTTCTCAGTTATATTTTCCCAATTTGTTTCCCAAACAGAAAGCTCAAATACTGGGCTATCCAGTTCAAAACTGGACGCCTGGCAACCCTAATTATATTGACCTGGCTAGTGGTTTAGGGCAGTGACCAATGTAATGCCCTGTGTGAGATAGTTAGGTTGGCATGCTTCTCACTCTAGAAACAGTTAGGTTGAAGGAAAAATTCTTGGAGCGGGGATTAACTACGCTGATGGAAAAACTTGCTGTGGATGCAGGAAGCATCTACACACAAGTAGCACAGGTGTAGCTGTTCTGTTGTAATTGCTGCAGTGTAAACCTGGTGATACGACAACTGCCTATGGGTGTCTGTAAAAGAAGACACTAAGGCTACGTCTATACTGGCATGATCTTGCGCAAGAACTCTTTTGTGGAAGAGTTCTTGTGCAAAAACTCTTCCAGAAGAGAGCGTCTACACTGGCGTTTGCACAAGAGATGTGCTTTTGCGCAAGAGCATCCATGCCAGTGTAGACGCTTTCTTGTGTAAGAAAGCTCTGATGGCCATTTTAACAATAGGGCTTTCTTGAGCAAGAAATTCATGTTGCCTGTCTACACTGGCCTCTTGCGCAAGAATAGTTGCGCAAGAGGGCTTATTTCTGAGTGGGAGTATCAGAGTTCTCGTGCAAGAAGCACTGATTTCATACAGCAGCACATCAGTGTTCTTGCGCAAGAACTCGCGGCCAGTGTAGACAGGCAGCAAGATCGCGCCAATGTAGTCACAGCCTTCGGGAGAGGAAGTTTTTAGGAGTAAATTTAACGATCAAGGAATTAAAGGGAATTTTGAGGCAGAATATTGTGGAAATTCTTAATGATAGAATCCAAAGTTAGTCCCCGAAACTGTGGCGGTCCCATTGCTTGAGACTCTCTTTATGTTGATGAGTAGGATTAGACAGGTACATAAAGGGTTAAATGTATTTAGCTTCTTAAAGGAACGTGTGTTTTTGTAATTAAAATGAAATAAAGGGGCTTTAGCAGCATAAGTAATAATTACATGTGTGATCTGGCTTTACTCTCTTACCAGATATGGGCATGGGATGCTGAATTGTATGAAAAGCCCAGGCTCTTCAACTGGGTCTATTCTTGATTGTATACTTATTTGTATGTCAAAGCTTCTGTGTGTCTGTTTCTTTCCCCTCTGTGTTCATGATGTGAAATTTGTTTTTCATGTTTTTGCTACTTGCACATACACATGTATATGTTGTAACAGAAATGGGAATTTTCTGTAATAATTCATAAAAATATCTGTATGACTGTGTCTTCACCTAGGTATTGCTAACCCGTGGGTGCAAAAGCGTTTAAAATACTGCTCCTGGGGCAAAGCAGGTGTCTTATCATATAGCTGCCTGGGCTGATATGAGTAGTTTGCTAAAGATTGGCTGGAACCAATCCATATTAATGGAAGATTCTGCAAAGACAATGGAAACCTCAAGGATTGAACAATCGACACACATCCATGGCGGGCTTGCAGCAGACAGAACATGTGAACTTAACGTGAGTTTTATAGCCAGAGAACAACGGATGGAGGTATTGGAACCAGGAACTTTCTCACAAAGGTTTCAGAGAGGCAGCTGAGTTAGACTGTAACAGGAAAAACTTAAAACGAACTAATAGTCTAGTAGCACTTTACAGACTAACAAAACATGTACATGGCATCATGAGCTTTCGCAGGCACAATCCACTTCCTCAGATGTACTGAAACAGAACACCAGTTTTAGGCTCAGGTTTGCTGATTCACAGGCAAGGCTCAGGCTGAAGGGCTATAAAATCTCATTGTAGATGTTTGGGCTCAGCCTGTCAGTGTCAGCCCTGTGAGTCTGAGTCTGACCTATGCACAGAGACAGTGAGATACAGATCTCTTACCTGAAGCGAAAACTGACCAAAGTGATACAAAGAAAAGAAATTTGAGTGGTTCCCACATCAGCGTGGTTTGTAGGAACCCTCACTTCAGCCACATGAGCTGTCTTAACCTGTGCTTCTCCAAACTAAGGACTTCCTGATCTAATATCCCAGTTGACCAGATGAAGAACTCTGTGTAGCTTGAAAGCTTCTCTCTCACCAACAGAATTTGGTCCAATAAAAGATCTTACCTCACCCACTTTGTCTCTAATAAATCCTACTGTTTTAAAAAGGCAGCATGGGTTTGCTGCAGATACTTGAGGGAGTATATTGATCCATGAAGGGATTAAAAGTCTCCGAACAGGAGTCTAGCTCAAATAGGACTCACTGTGCAAAGCACACAATGATAAATGAGCGCAGGCATCAAAAACTCAGTCTAGCAGGTGTTGGTGGCCATATGGCCTATCCTTGTAGAAGCAACTCCAAAGGTGTCAAAAACCCTGAGGGGATCCTTCCAAGGGACTGCTTAAATGCTGGGGTACAGATCCTGTAGAACTGTGATATGTTTATCTCCACCACAGTTAAATATATGATCCACTTAGTTCCAACTGTCTTGAATCAAAAAGCAAGAATAGAAATCTTGTTCAGAGAAATGTGCTGTGATGTGCTCGGTCTATTGTAGACAGACTACAGCTTGCGGAATTCTGTGCCTAAAAATTCTGCACACTATTTTAAAATTCTGCATCTTTTATTTGTCAAAATAGCACAATGTAATAATGCAAGTCTAAATTATTTTGGTAATTTATTTCCAAATACCTGTCTACAAGTATGTTTGTAACAATACATATTAAAAGAAAAAAATCAGTTTCTAGGCAAATTAATACAGAACTCTGGGGGAAGTGGAGTAATGGAGGAACTGAGGATAGGAACCTGGGATTGTACATGGATAGCTGTTGTTGCATGAGGGACTATGGCTAGACTGCAAAGAAAAGTCAGAAAAAGATACATGAGTTGTGAACCATAATTTGCATATCTTTTTCTGCTTTTTTTTCTGAAGAGGCTTTTCTGAATTAGCCCATTTACACGGGGCCAAATTTCAGAAAAACCTCCTCTTTCACATCATCCTTTATTCCTCATACAATGAGGAATATAAGGATGTCGAAAGAACGTGTCCGCTTTTTCAGAAACTGTTCCGAAAAAGTGGATGCAATCACTGGACACGGCAGAGTGTAGACATAGCTTGTTTGGGAGAAGTATGGAATAGGTTTTTTGGGGGTACTGTTAAAGAGTTGGGGGGGGGTCAGCCCTGATTCCTAACCTCTCTCATTCAGGCATATCTGCGCCTTCCAATTCCCCTCTCTGTCCATCCAGATCTCTGTGTGTCCCTGTACCTCCTTGTTACACCCCCATATGGTCCGTTAGCCACTGTCCCATTCAGTCCCTGACTCAGTGCTGTCACCCCATTAGCCTTTCTGAATCCCAGTCTCGGACTCCTCGGCAGCAGGTCCACATACCCAGCTTTGTCTGTCCTGTTTCTATTCAACTGGCCCTCCTGTAAAGAGAGCAGCCTCTTCCCCCCTCACTCCTACCTGCTGGCTGCTCTCTCTTCCTATGGCACAGCAGCCCCTGGTGGGTGAAAGGTGGACCTACAGAAAACTCTACAGCAAAATCTATATTTAGTGGAAGAAAAAACAAATATGCAGGAGGACATGAATTCTGCACGTGCACAGTGGTGCAGAATTTTCCCAGAAGTAGCTGGTGTATCAATGGGCATAAAGAAGCATATCGGTTTGCTTTGTCTTCCAGTAATTAGCAGCAGTATTCAAACAATAACTGAGAGAGCTTTAAAAAAAAGGTATGGGAAATGCAGTACGGTATGAGAAACTTGCACTTACATAAATATAGCCATTTTAGATATTTTATGGAAACAATAATACTTAGTTCTTGTACAGTAATATTTCTCTAGAGATCACAAAGCACTTTACAAAGGAAGGCAAATATTATTATTCCCAGTTTTCAGATGGGGAAATTGAGGCATAGATAAACCAAGTGACTTGCTAAGCTCAGCCAGCAGGTCAGTATGAGAGTGAGGAATGGAATCCACAATTCATGATGTCCAGTCCAGTCTTCTGTGCCCTGGTTCAATAACTTATCACAAACTGATTATTCTTTCATGCTTCTCCCTCTCCTCACTCCATCCCCTACAGCTCCCTACATGATTCTTACTGATGAGATTCTGTCTGTTCTATCGATATAGGAACTCCTTGCTGACCCCGTTGAGAAGGCAAATCCCAGCAGGGTACTGAACTCCTGCCATAAGAGAGCAGATGGTTGGTGTAATGAAGCCAAAATCGTTTTAAGTATAACCCATATAGGATGAAGTAATCTGTTTTAGTGGTGTTTATATTGTCAAAGCTGATAGGTTTTGCCTCTAGAAAATCAGAAAAGAGTCAAGCCTTGGAATAAGGCTGTTTCTAAAGTGAAATGGGAGGGTAAAAAATGTCCTAAAAGCCCAATAATAGCTGAAATAGTGCAGCTGCTTTAAAAAAAACCTTCTTATTGTAGTCCAGTGTTTTGGATGGCAACACTAATAAATTCT